AATGACATATGCCAAGACGCTGCAGCCTCAACGTCACCGAGCCGAGGAAATTAATGGAGCCCTGTCCTGTGTGCTCACGAAGCAGAGGTCCAAACTACGATCATTTTCGTTAACTACATGGTTAATTTGAGAAAGAGTTGCTGCGCTATAGTTTTTGAGAAGGCTAATAATGCCGGTGGAAGCATAACTGTCCCATGTTACAAAACACAAAAATGAGCAAACTGCAGTTAAAGATTGAAAAGACGTTTTGCTGCTATCGTAAAATTTCACGGAAAAATTTGGTTGTGCTTCGAAAAACTAACGTAATACAACTATTCCATAGAAAGTTTGTCAAAATTTTGCATAAAAAGAAATTTTTCCATGACAAAATCTTCTGTGACACTTATGCTGCGAATTTCTCAGACGAGTTGAAAAATATACGCATATCTGTCGTATCTGTCCCACTGTGAACAACTTCTCAGGCTTCTCAGTTGCTGCTGTTGTTATGTTTGACACTTCGTGAGTGACGGTTGGAGTTTTTTCTTTAAAATGGTTGATTTCAGTGCCAACATTTCAAAGGGGCGTAACTACATTAGTGAACAATGGATTTAGCCGTCGATTTCTCATAGAAACAGGCTCACTCATGAAAGTTAATGACACCACAGAGACACAGACAGAGGAATGTTTCATCTACCAGCTAGCATTGCTAATTTGGAGGGGTGAGCATTTACTTGCGAGATATCGACGGCTAAAGCCAATGCTTACAAAAGCAATTACGCCCCTTGGAAATGTTGACACTGATTTGAATGTGGGCCGGAAACGTCTGCCATAGAAAATTTAAAGCAGTACGGTGGTTCCAGTGGTAGTGATAGCTATTAGTCTTTAACGAGACAATTGCTCCTGTTGGCGCATACGCACGATCATTTCCAGTGTCTGCATGTACACGTTACACGTACAGTACACGTTGAACTTATTCAAGCCTCGCCCGTATGTGGACATCATGAGAAAATTGTTTTTCTCAAAAAGGACGATATGAGCTAGGATACGCAAGCAACATCAATAGTGAGGACCTTAAATACTGCAAACTGTTTTCCAAGAAATAACTCCAGCTGATCGCCAACTATACGTTCTCTACTGAAGCTAACGTTCTCTGGAAAAGGTTTCCTCGTTGAATTTAAGTAGATAGGAAGGCCTCTCTGTTGGCAGTTGTCGTACCTGTTATTGGAGAAGACGAAACATCATTTTTAGATTAATTTTACCATTTGGGTAATCGTTTGGATCTTGTAATATGTTTACGATGTATTATAACAGACTATAACCTTTGAAGAATTTCTTATACATATTAAAAATTGGAGCAGTGGGACAGATATGCGTCCATTTTTGCAATGGGACAAAACGACTTCACAATTTTTTTTTTAAATTTGTCTAGAATAAACAGCATGTTTTAATATAATATTTTACAAATATGTATTGATTTATAACGTTAAGCATCATAACCTCAAAAAAGTCAAAATGTCACATGGGACAGTTATGCTTCCACCGGCAGAATAGCTCCTGCGTGAAATGTAGAGCTATCAGGATCTGGGTACAGGAATCCGCTATGAGATGGACTCCACGAAACGCCTGGCAGATTGAAGTCACCAAAAATTAATATCTCATCAACTGGAGTGGCACTTTCGATAACTGTGAAAACTGACCGACAGTCAGTATCGATGAGTTCATTGTCCCGGACTCGATCAGGTGGAATGTACAGAGCGCATAGAAATAGTGTGCGATCACCCAGATTGATGGCTGTCCAAACCTGCTCCACATAGTTCCATGAATCGTTCTCGATGGCCTTTGCCTCCAACCCGCCACGGACAGCTAAAGGACACCCCCACCAGTAGATTTACAGCTGTTGTTAGGATTCCGATCGGAACGAAATACCTCGTAGTCAGGACCGAAGGATCTCACAGCGAAACACCTTAAGTCGCCTGGAGAAATTGGTGCTGCTCTTCATCCGAGACGACTGTCAAGCCGAACTTGTATGTTTCGTTGACGGGCCCGACAGTTGCGATAATTATGCGGACAGTTTCGAAAACTTCAGACCGGATCAGAAAAACTTGGTATCCTCCGATTTCCGAAATGCTGACCACGACAGTATCGGGGAACTTCTTTCGAATTTGGACTGGCACATGATACTCGTCCCTGCCGATGTCAATGCAGCTGCCCAAACGCTCTCGCATATTTTGGCTTACGTCGTTGAGCGACACGTTCCGAAAAAAAGTTCATAAACAAGGTAATCATCATCCTTGGCAAACAAGTGAACTCCGTATGTTAAAGTCTTCCAAAAGAGCCGCGCTAATAAAATACACCAAGTACCACACCCTACAACTCAAGGACCATTATGCGAGGATCAATCATGCGTTATCGTTATCAACGAGATGTTCAACGGAAGCATCGATCACACCCGAAAACTTATTGGAATTACGTGAATGAGCAACGAAAGGAGTTTGGCCTTCCATCGACTATGGTACTGAACGGCGAAGCAGCTTCATCCCTTCAGGACATTTGCCGTCTGTTCTCAACCAAGTTGGCGAGTGTATTCTCGGATGAGAACCTACCTGACGAGTAATGTTACAATGTCTGGTCAATCTTTGGCAGCTATGAATATCGACCCACGCTATGATAACTAGGGCGACTTCGCAACTGAAGTCTTCAGTTACTATCCTGGACCTGACGGAGTTCCTTCCGTCTTTCTCAAGCAACACATCGATAGCGTGGTGGCTCATCTCTGCCTTCTGTTCGAAATGTCCCTCTCCAGTGGGGTGCTGGAAATCAGCTGAGATGTTTCCAGTGCATAAGAAGGGATGCAAAAGAAACATCGACAACTACCGCGGCATCACATTGTTGTGTGCCATACCTATGTAAACTGTTTAAGTTGGTCGTTATGGAACCATTTGTCTCTCACTTCAAGCAGCACTTGAGCGAAAACCAGCATGGTTTCATGACAGGGCGGTCGACTACTTCCAACCTTCTGTGTCTCACCTCGTACATTACGGAGAGTATGACAGACCATATTATGATCAAACAGATGTCATCTACACTGACCTATCAGCCGCCTTCGACAAGTTGAACCATCCTATAGCGATGGCCAAACTGGATAGGCTCGGTATAAACGGCAGTCTCCTACGATGGTTCGCATCCTATATCTATCTGATCGTCAGTTGGAAGTTGCAATTGACGAATGCCGATCTCCTTCGTTCCCTGCCACTTCGGGTATTCCGCACGTCAATTTTGTGTATTTCAACGACGTCAATTTCGTCCTCGACGGTCCACGACTGTCGTTCGCATACGACATGAAAATCTATCTCCGAATCCGAATCATCGCTGACTGCCACCTTCTCCAACCCAACTCAACGCTTTTGCTAATTGGTGCCAACTGAACCGCATGGTTGTAAATCCAACAAAATGTTCAGTAATCACGTTCTCACGTGAACATCCAATTACATTCAGTTATATCCTAGAAGGCCTTGACGTACATCGTGTGAATCACATTAAGGATCTGGGAGTCATCTTAGATTGCCAACTCACATACAGCCAGCATATCTCGTACGTGATCAACAAGGCATCCAGAACGCTCGGCTTCATTTTGCTAAGAGTTTCACGGACATCTACTGTTTGAAGTCGCTTTACTGCTCCCTCGTCCGGTCGGTGTTAGAATACTGCAGCCCTGTATGGAATCCCAATTACCAAAACAGTGTACAAATAGTAGAGTCCATTCAACGACGATTCATCTGGTTTGCCCTTCGACGATTGCCTTGGAGGGATCCTCATCGTCGAGCACGGTGTTCTGGACGTGCTGTCGAAGCTGAGTGACTATCTGCTGCACATTGGCATTTGATGTGATTGTTTGGCACAATGATGGTTTCTGACTTCGACCGTGGCACCATTTGTCGCGCCATGGAGTTGAACACGGCTAAGAAACGACGCCTTATGGCGGCTTTGCTCCCTTCATCGGTGATGGGATCGCATGCTTTAGGAGATGATATTCAACAAATATATGGCCTGGTTCGAAGCATGCCTCGTAACATTACCCGAGAGGCGTACAATGACGTTGCAGAGCGGCTGTTTGGTTCCCAGGATAAAGCTGATGCTTTGCGAATTGCTTATGAACTGGTGTATAACACGGTAGGTTGCAGTGGATTGGAACTTCGTTTGGTTTAAGTATTTGGAATTTTCGAAATTATAGGCAAAGCTTCAACTATCGGTTCAAGATGAAAATTTGACGGGTTTTATCTACGATATATAACACAATCGAACTTCTACGATAACTCTGATTTTGAAAGATCTGCGGTACTGGAAAACGAAGAACATAGATCTTTACCAGCTTGTGGTCAATTTCTACGGTAGGCTGGCCGGTGTAGTGCTAGCTCGGAATGATCGCTGCCATGGCGAGCCATCACCGACGCGACGAATCAGAATCAAACAAAACCATGTGTATCACACCGTCGAGTTGAAGTTTCCGGAGTTTGAGCTGAACTCCGACATCGAAGCAACAATAAATACGATCAATGTTGCAACCCGGTTTGTGTTTTTAACAGAAACGGATGATAACCTCATACATGGCCGACATCATCCTTCTGACCGTGGAACAACATTTTGACAACGTTAATAGCCGTAACTGGCTCAACCGCACACTGACAACTCGAAACATGGATGCCTTCCATGCAACATTTATGTATATCCGCCGGAGGTTCTACGTCTACGAAGCCCTGGTCAACTGCGAATTTCCTGGCCTGTTGATTGTAAATAATCTACCTACGTTTTCTTTTATGGAACCAGAGGATTTTACCGGCTTAATTTTCGTTCAACAGGATAACTAAACTCGCCTAGATGGAGTAAAAATGCATCGACCGCGTTCGTGAGCGCCACCTTCACGACTAATCAACTCTTATTTTCTCATTTACCATGTTCTGTACAATCTATATTTTAACAACAAAAAATACACAATTATAGTTTGATGTGTCTTTCATTCCCGAAGCCATTTTAGATCTTCAATATCCAACGCCCGGATGCTTGCTGGTCTTGATCACCAGATTCTGTTCCTTTTCCCGTTTTGTCTGGTACCGCGCCACGTTGTAGTTGTAGAAGAAATTCTTTCCATATTCGAACGAGGCAATCATGATGGCACAAGCCGGGGCTACCTTAACCAGTCGCGGCGTTAAGCCGGAAAACAGACCTTTGACTCCGTTGCGGACGTAAATGTTACGCATCGTTTCGAACATTCCGGAGCTTTTCTGTGGCTTCCTTTTTTCGCCGTTTTCTGCGTACAGGAACTTTTCGCCGAATTCAATCTGCTGATGAGTTTTAACCACATCAAATGGAACGGTAAGGAACGCTGCGATGCCGCCGGAAATAGCCCCGCTGACAAAGCTGAAACCGAACGTGGGCTGCGTTACGTTACTGTGCTTTTTTAACGTTTCGTACGTCGTCCAGTAGATGCCACTGAACGGGACATCCCTCAGTATGGTCGGGAAAAATCCTTTCCACAATCCTAAGATTCCATGCACTTTGAGCATGCTGCGGAAGCCTTGCCCCACCTCGGTGTAGCTGAGTTTCTCCGATTGCATCTTGGTCCGAATCAGCTCCAGAGGGTTCACAATGGTAACGGCCAACACACGGGCCGATCCTCCAGCTATCAGTGGAAACCAAAGTGGTAGCTCTGTCGATTTGTCCCTTTTCCGGAGGTAGAAATCCTTCAACCTCAACCTGAACTGCTCGTACGCAACAAAATAGATCACAGTAGTAGGAAGGGCCAGCACTAACGTCGGACTTAGTCCGGACCAAAGCGATTTCACCCCCTCGTGGTGGCTGATTTTGACAAACGCATCCACCGTCCCAGTGAAATGTAGCTTCGGTTTGGTAAATGCTGTCATAGTTCCATTGGGACCGCAAGGACAAAGATGATCCATCAACCCGTTACAGTACAGATAACATTTGTTGGAAAGCATCAGCTTCTGCTGTGTCTGTATCCGGGTCTTTACCACATCCAAGGGCGTCACTGCAATCCGAATACCAATCGTTAGTTTCTATAGTGAAAAGGCCTACACAAAGGGCCTTATAATACGGGTGTTACTACACGGTGATAAGGAAGTGATACTCATAATAAGAGCCGTGATTGCCGTACAAATCAAATGGGAATCACTTCACCGTGACGACAAGTGACAAGTTTTCACCGTGAAGTGACATCCGTAATAAGCCCCAAAATACTTACTAAAAAGTGAAGTAACGAGTGCTCCGCTGCAGGACGACAAGACCTGTTGATACGGCCGGATTCGAAAGCGGCTGTCATCCATGTTGTCACCCGGTGCCGGTAGAGATTCGGTACGGGAACCCGTGTCGGTCATTATGATCTACTGATGCTGGGTACCACGGGAGATTTCACAACACGGATAACAATCAAGTAGTAGACTATCACTAGCACTAACAAAAAATGACAGTCATTCTGATTAGTATAAAAGCTGTTACTAGCGAGTTTTGCGCAATAATAGGTGATAAAAACTAAGAATCTAATGCATTTATCACTGCACGCGTAACACTCGCAATCTATATACCGATGCACGCAGCGAGGAACGGGGAGCGATCGGTGATGATTATTTTTTTATTTCGTTTGACGGATCGTATTAAAAAACACGACAGCGAAAATCCGAAACAAAACAGCAGTCGATGAAAAACTCGACTAGCATTGGGCGATAATGCCATTAAAGCGTCACTGAACATCATACGAACTTCCCGCCCACATAAACACAAATCATCCCTCATAATAATTTATAATTTTTGTTAGTTTTACGATTAATCGGTCATTAACGTGGGTAGATCACCTTTTCGTGGTACGTTACGGGATCTACCACCGATTCCTAGTCTTGACTATTTCAAACTAGGGGAACAGGATTTTTCAGTAATCAAAGGAACACATCTTAGTCCTTGTTACTTTTTATGCCTTGTTGATAGTGATAAGTCCTCGGGTTGCCTGGACCGAGGATGATCTTGAAACAAGGAAAATTGAGTTCAGTGCCAACATTTCAAAGGGGCGTAATTGCTTTTGTAAACAATGACTTTAGCCATCAATTTCTCGCGAATGAAATCTTACCTCTCCAAAATTACAATTCTAGCTGGTAGAGGAAACATTCCTCTACCTTCTAGTGTCATTATTTTTCATGAGTGAGCTTTTATTCGCGAGAAATCGACGGCTAAAGCCATTGTTTACTGTTAGTTAGTCTTCATCTATGTGATTCCTAATCTTCTATTCGTTGTTCCCTGGTTTGAAGTGGTTAAGACTAGGGTTCTGATGCATGGTCACTATCGGTGACATTCCTTAATTTTGTTGCTAAGGAATCCAATTTTGACTGACAAAGGAGCGCGCCTTTGGAGGGTGTTCCAACACTCCGAAGGGTATAAATAGCGGAACCTTTCAATTAGAATCGATTCCTTGCGATGAAGGCAAGAATGACAACTGTATCAAAACCGAATACTTCATCATTTTTCAATAGTGATGAAGTAATACGACATGCACTAAACTAAGGACACGGGATATACTACAATAGATCAAATTACTGGTCGCAGTAGTTTTATGTCCCGAACAGAGGAAAAAAAAATCGGTCATTAATGTTAAGGTTACCACATTTACCATAAATATTACCATCACCATATCCATTAAGGTTTGTGAACTATAGTTAATAAGGTTTGATTGAAGTTCTTATTCTGGAATTGTACATGAAGAAACCATTAATTTTGAATGGTAATGGTTCTTATCAACCCTTTATTTTCAACATCCAGATGCAACAATGCACAATAAATAAGGATGAAACTTTATCATGCAAACGTTCATAATTACTACTGTTAAGATTAAGCATGGAAAATAATTTTTCATAAGACAAATTCGTTCTTTTTCCTCGGTATAGTTTCAGAACGAAAACATTAATAAGTCTGTTTTGTGTGTGGTTCGGCCAACTTAATAAATGATCGATTAATCGTAAAACTTTTAAGGAAACCATATATTATTATTCGGGTTGTCTCGTGACGCTCAAAAGTTGTCAAAAAATCGATCCCAGTCACAATCGTTTCTGTTTACTGTTTGTCGCAATTTGCATTTTGCACTACGCTGTACCAGCCGAAATTACCCACAAATTTATACAATCCTCAATTCCATCGTTACGTCCACGAAGAAAACGGTCCACAACTCGGAATGGGCGTCAACGATGCAATGAACTACGTCCTCTTCAACAACCCTGTTGCCAGCGGAGTCTGGTCGTTTCTGTCGTCCGGGAATGTATGTCATAGTTTGCTACTTCTACTTGTACCATAATTATTCCTCTCATTTTCTAGGGTATGAAATCGAAGGGTGCTGTCGTCGGTCAACAGGTCGCCAACCAAAGTACAAAAGTGGTGGTATCGGAGGTGATGCCGCCGTTGTGGAAGCTGCTGGGTTCCAGTCGGCACATTCTGAAGCTGGCCGGTCTCAGCGGTGCCACTGCCGTCATGCTCGGTGCCTACGGAGCCCACCATCGGTTCAACATTGCCGACGAGAAGGAACGTGACCCCAGAAGCATTTTCGAAATGACCAATCGGTACCATTTTCTCCATTCGCTGGCCCTGCTGGCGGCTCCACTGGCCAGAAAGCCGTATCTGGTAAGTCTTTTTGGCAGGTATTGCCCAACAAAAGATGACGTCTATCTATGTTTGCTTTTCCAGACTGCCGTTTTGATGACTTCGGGAATGGTCCTTTTTTGCGGAACATGCTACTATATCTCCTTTACCAATGATCGCCGCGTCAGTCAGCTGACCCCAGTTGGTGGATTTCTACTAATCTTTGGATGGCTTTCTTTCGTAATCTAAGCTTCTAAGATCAGTAACTTCATCCACAAAACAACGCTTGTCTTAACAAACTTAATGGAACCATTGCTGTTGTAGATGTACTAGAAACTATTAAAATAATAAAATGTCTGTGTTTAAACCAAACCAGCCTCTCACAGGGCGATCATTTTGGGTTTAACGTTGCAACGATCAATCACATACTGTGGCATGCAGAAAGTGGGATTCACCTTTCGTAATCTATCATCCCCGAGCAGTGAAAGTGCTCCCAAACCAAAAAGAGTGTGGAAAATGTCGGGCATGTTACCGGTACGATCCGAGAATCCTCCCGTTTCGGCATCCTGACAGGAGAGGATAAACTTCTCAAGCTTCTCCGCACTAATCCAATGCAACCGACCCATGATGGTCAGTGATGCCAGCACCCACCAGGAATAGCAGACATCCGGTAGCTTTTCCGGCCTTCCATTCAATCCCCCGCTTGGCAACTGACGTTCGCATAACCACCAGGCCAGCTTCTCGCCATCCAGTCGATGCAACTGATCGGTAATCGAAAGAAATCCCACACAACAATAGATAAGTCCGGCATGGCTCTCTGCGTTTGGTTTCGAACCGAAACCTCCGTCTGAGTTGCAGCAGGACATGACGAAGTTGACAGCCTTCTCCAAGTCGATAACATCCATTTTGTTCTAAAACAGAAACAAATTCAACTAATTATAACTACTTTCGCACACAAATCAACACTCACAATCAGGCTGAGAATTGCCACGGCACAGAACGAGAATCGCGTATCGACCTCGCCCCATTTATCCCCGAAGAAGCTACCGTCCAGCTGCTGCAATGAACTGACGTACCGGGCGATGGCTTCCGTGTCGATTTCCTCCAGACAGTCGTAGATACACAGAATCTGCACCGCACTCAAAGTGTACAGCAGGTGTGGATCGTGACCTTCGCAGGCAGAAATTCCCCCACCAACCGGACACTGGCACTTCTTAATAAAATCGACAATCTCCTGTCGGTTTACACGTTCTAACTTGTACATCAGATCCAGTCCCGTCACGCCCCAGTAGATACCGGACATACGGAGAAATTCCGTCATGCAGTATTCCTACAAAATTGCAACCACGAGAGTAATTTAACATTCAAGGAATCAAATACTATTTACTGTTGCTCACGTACATAGTCATTTTTATCGTTACCGTGGTTGGCAATGTACTCTACGTGCTTGTCGAATAGGAGCTCTCTTGGTTCGTCGCTGATTGATACGTCGTTTGTAACAAAGGCCTGTTTCGTGTGGACGATGGGGAAAAAGTTTAACTTTTAGTTACAGCTCCGAAAATCTTGTTTAGCTCACCATTTTTATTGCTACAGTTGCCTTTCCTACTATTTGAACGATTCCTATCGATGATTCAATGAAAAATTTACTGAAAAAATGCACAATTTGTCCTCAGAAACTTGTGGTGTATTCAACGCATTCAATTATTCCGACCGAGAATTTTTTTATGCACTGATTCATTCTGTTTATTGAAATGACCGTCAAAACAAAGGGAAATGTCAAATTGATTAAAGGAAAGGTGAAAAAATTCACAACTACTTGTGACGTTCATTTTGATGAATAGAGTGACCATCTACGAAGGAATATAAATAAAAAAGGTGGGAAATGGTCTGGGAAATTGCACCGTGTGTCAAATATTTCACATAAAGCATTCAGACAAGACAATAGAGATTAGTGACGTTTAACGCACGCACAGTAGCGGGTGCACCACCGTGTAAAGTTTTTTTTTTATTATTTTCCTCTTGCTAACCTAAAAAATATATGAAATTAGATCTGCCAAAATGAGATTTGACAGAGATTTGTTATGTATTTTCCTCGGATTTTCACTAACACGTTCTCACATTCGCACCAATACAACCGGACGTGAAAATCTCTATACGGGGGCGAAAACGAACCACTTTTCCACAGACAAACAGGCACATACATTGCAATTAATGTTTTAGTTGGGAATGTCCTTGCATTTGTCATGGTGGTGCCACTGAAGCATTAAGCAAGCCACCACATGTCGAACTTATCAGTGATGCCAGTTCTTTTTCACGTCTAGTTAGTAGATGTCAGGTCTTGAAAATGATAAGTGGTCAAAGCATCCCACTGGAGACACATACCACATCTGACGAATACAGAAAAAAAAAGTTGTTGAATATTACATCACAATTGCTGCACATTAGTCATTCCGTTCCTAATATTCCATGCTCGGTAATGGCGACCTGTTTGTATGAATAAATGTATCCTTCAACGGTGCTATCTGGAGGTTCGGATTTTGACACCTCCCTTTCCCTCTCTCAGGAACAGAAGTGTCAAAAAGCACAGCGAAGGAAACATTTCAGTGCCAACATTTCGATTTCTCATGAATAAAAGCTGACTCATGAAAGTTATTTACACCACCAAGTAGGGGGATGTTTCCTCTACCATCTAGAATTGTTAATTTGAAGAGGTGAGCTTTCATTTGCGAGAAATCGACAGCTAAAGCCATTGTTTACAAAAGCAATTACGCCCCTTTGAAATGTTGGCACTGATTTATTCATTCAAACAGGCCGCCATTACCGAGCATGGAAGCTGGATAGATCTACGGAACATTTCGTAGAACCGACAGCACTGACTTCCAACTGACGCGTTAAAAGAACGAGGGAAAAGCAACTAGTGAAAAAATTGCATGAACGATCAACTAAACGCAACCTAGGGTCAACCAGGCGAATTGCATTTTAGCGAGGGGTACGACACATCTAAATCTCGATTTTAAATGGTCGAACAATCCCAAGTAACAATTTCCAGTTGAAGAAACGCTTTCGTTTTGATTTTGTTCATCTGCATGTTGAATAATAATTGCACAATGTGTACACCACAACTTTTATAAAACCCTTGTTTACACTGGTTTGGAGAACCTATACAACTGCAATACAAAGGTGTTGTCTAACGTATTCAGTAAAACGTTTACCCAAAATCAATTTCTTGTTGAAGAAACGCTTCCATTGTGATTTTATTCAACTGCATGCTGAATAATAACTGCACAATTTGTTTATTACAACTTCTGTAAAACTCTTGTTTACACTGGTTTGGAGAACCTGTTCAACTACAGCATTATATGTATACGTGGTATAGGAGTAGAAGCAACTTTTATACAACGTTTATAGATACATATTTAAACTCAAGCTTTATTATTTTGGTGAAAGCTCTTATACAACGTTTGTAGACACTTCTTGACAGCTGCTTTGAAATTTAGTAGAGAGTAAACCTGAGAGGCGTTTGTTGCACTCTTTTATGACTCCTAAATAATCATTGTACAGCAAGCGGTGAAAAGCGTTTATAGCACTTTTCAATGACACCTTAACAACCGGATGGAAGCAACTGTTATACAACGTTTATAGATACATATTTAAAGTCAAGCTTTATTGTTTTGGTGAAAGCTCTAATACAACGTTTGTAGACACCTCCTAACAGCTGCTTCGAAATGTATTAGAGATTGAACCTGAGAGGCGTTTGTTACACTCTTTTATGACTCCTAAATAATCATTGTACAGCAAGAGGTGAAAAGTGTTTATACACACAAAGAATTATCGTTGATACAATTAAAAAAAACATTGGTAGAATTAAAAGTTTGCGTTGGTTCTTTTTGGTAGAAAGTCTTTTGCATTCAAAATAAAAGTCAGCCAACTGTCAATTCAAAAGTGAGCCGCACCCTATTTTTAAAAGTAGAAACTTTCAAACCGAATTGTACTACTGTCAAAATAAAAACATGGCGGTTTTTAATTTGAAAGCAGATTGTTTCTAATCCACAACATACTTTTGGCAGGAAAGTGTGATATAGTTAAAAAGATATGGTCTATTTTGAATCTACATCAAAAATATTTTTAACATGAAAACGTTTACTTTTAGATGAAATACTTAAATCTTTTAAATAGAAAGGTTATGTATTCAAAATAAATGTTTATAATATCAAGCGAAAAGTATAGCAGTATGAAAATGAAAAGTTTTCTCAAATATCACTTTTAAAATGAATGTTTACTATAGTTAAAATGATTTTTAAATCTTTCATTTTAAAAATGGGATATTATTGATATCACTATTCTTGTTTTCAAAATAAATGTTTATGGATCTTAAAAAGTTAAGCTGAGCCCAGGACGTGTGACTCTAAAAATATACAAGCTAAATATCCAGTCCAATCCTGAACAGTTCTTTTTTATCCTTACACGACCCTCACAAGCTTTTTTTTTGTGCATGATCGTTCTCATAGGGATAGAAAAGCAATGTTTGGATTTGGACTGGATGATTGATTTGTATAATCTTAGAGTTACACCCCTTGCCCTATTTGCTGTATCTAACATAGCTTTTTTGTGTATCAAAACACACGTATGCAAATCAGCATTGTTGATAATTAAAGAAATATCTTACAATAAGGGACCATTCTGTTGGTTTGCATGTGTTTAGAGACTCAAGAATTTGGCTAGTCATTGTTGATAAAGGCAAATAGGAAATAATGTGAGAATACCTGATTTATTAAACGGATAGCATGGAAAATACAATGCAGGTTTGGTACCTAGTTTGAAACAATGCCTTCATTTTGAATCAAGTTTGAATGATATATTAATGACTGTAATAATAAGCCTGAAAAATACGTTTCAATGCTGTGCTTGTTCGCAGTACCAACACCCATTTTGCAGGCTAAGTATGCAGGCTTTTTACAATGAACTCAAAATGGAAGCACGGCTTCAAAATGGGTACAAAGTCCTTAATGATAATTAATTGTCAAACATAGTTTATTTGAAGATATTCAAGATTTATTACATCTCAGACGTTCTGGGATAGAAGTTACTGGGAACGGTTCCTGGAGCTACAGAACTGATTAATGTTTCCATAGCCTCATGCGGCTCCGATCGGTGAAATGACTCAGGAGCTGCCACCGCCGTTTCAGTGACCGGTGTGGATACGTTTTGTTCAGCTGTAGAAGATAAAATAACAACATTCAAAATAATATACAAAGAGAAATAGAAATCTATCCAAATTTCTAGAAGAGTTGTTGCAAAGTTTAATATGTCTCGATCGATTTTTATTTTGGATTTTTGGCTTACCAAGGATATGCAAAACAAATATTCAAGCGTAACTATTCAAATCAACGTAACTGATTTTGTGAACAATCACTTCAATCGACGATTTGATTTAACTGCTAACTCACCCACGTAAACACCATCATCAGGTAGGGGAATCTCTCTCCTACTATCTGGTGTTGTTAGTTTCTGTGAGTGAGCTAGCAGTTACCACAAATCGTCGATTGAAGTGATTGTTTACGAAATCAGATACGTCTATTTGCATAGTTATTCTTGAATATCAATAGATATTGGATTTTTTTTCATCATGTTTTAACTTTATGTAGGTACACGGCCAATGAGATCAACTCAAATTTGTGTTTTGTTCACTCAAATTCGCTCATATGTCGTTAACTCATAGACTGAGATAGTTTTCCGGTATTTTCCTCAAAAATCTGCTCCAATGTGAGAAAAATCGTTGAAAATTTTACAGTCTAGTTGTGCAAAAATAACTTGCTACTTACCTTTCGGTATGGGCTCGGACCCTACTTGAGTTTGTTGTTTGATAATAACAGGATCTGATGGTCGGAGTCCGGATGGCGTGTCATCTACTGTGAAGTAAAAAATAATAATAAGAAAAAAATGAGGTTATGAATTTTTTGTCAATGGCTGCTTTGCCTTAAAGGTTATGTCAGTTATTCTTTTTATGTTCTAAGTTCAAAATTATTTATTAATATTACTCACCAGCTAATGTATCGAAGCTTGGATCATCCTCCTTAAGGGGTTCCTCTTCGTCCCCGAAATCTTCAGAGATATCGGAATCATCTAGAGATTTCAAAATTTCAACCTCTTCCTCCTCACCTACATCTTCTCCTTCTTCCGCTTCCTCTTCATACATCTCAACGTCCAGAAATTCTGACTGAGGTATCATGTTTATTTTCACTGCACTGAATGTATATTTACTTACTATGAATCACCAGACGAACAGCGGCAACATTTAAAACATCCGAAACGCGAAAACATCCGAAAAACGAAATCATCCGAAACGCGAAAACATCCAGTTTTAATATCGACGGGCACGAAATACAACCACTACACAGGACACGCGACTTGTAAATGTGAGCCAACGCCGACCAAAACGACTCGCTTGTATTGTTACAGCACTGGGCACTGTGAGTTGTTTGTCCCTTTCATTCCTATGTTGTTATTATGAGCCAGCTAATATGATGTCATACACTGCATATCAAATAAGAAGCAGAGGAACGAAAGAGACAACGAATTCCATACGGTCAAACCCGAAATATGTGATATTTAGGTTGTGTTGTACGATTTGACAGTTGTACAATTTTCACGTTAAAAGAAAACACTTTTAAATCGATAACAGAACCGATGAAAAAACACTGTTAAATCAAACAAATTACTTTCATACTAAAATTTTTCACTTTTATTTCAATAAAAACAAACCACTTCTTAAAACAAAAGTGTAAAATATTCAATAGAACAATTTTTATATTTTGTGTGTATCACTTTTCAATGACTCCTTAATAACCGGATAGAAGCAACTTTTATACAACGTTTATAGATGCATATTTAAACTCAAGCTTTATTATTTTGGTGAAAGCGCTTATACAACGTTTGTAGACACTTCTTGACAGCTGCTTTGAAATTAAGTAGAGAGTAAACCTGAGAAGCGTTTGTTGCACTCTTTTATGACTCCTAAATAATCATTGTACAGCAAGCGGTGAAAAGCGTTTATAGCACTTTTTAATGACTCCTTAATAACCGTTGTGTAAGTACTCACAATATTCACAGATTAAAATTAGTTTAACAATTGTCGTGGTACGCCAAAATAATTGCTTGTACAGTTTTTATTAATTTAATTCATTTGTGCACATTGAAAAATATGTAATTATGCCATAATTCACATTCTGTGATCATGGAGGAAGTAGTAACAGGCATCTGTTTAATCTTTGATTGATATTCTTTCAATTAATCTCTCTAATCATTAATTGAGAGAATTTATCTAGAAATGTTATCGTTGATTATATGATATATGTCTTAAATTAATGTTTGCATTTATTAATATAACACCTATATATAATTTACCTCTACTCCACCGAGGGTTTCTCGAAGCAAGATTCGAACTCATGATCCCGGATTGCCAGCCGCTTCTGTTTCCATCTGCTCTATTCTTGAATACATATTTTGATCATATGAGAGAAGTATATGAAGCTCATCTTGAGTGACTTCTCTTGCAGTCGAATAATCATTGCCTTATGGTCATATAAACGTGCCTATCACTTGTGCTATTTTTAGCAACAAAATTGTGGTTGGAAGTTGGTCGAACGTAAACAATCATTTAAGAGTGCTCCAACAGCTTTTAAAACTTTTAATCAAATGGCAATACAACTACATTCTGTTCAACTCTGGAAGCTATTATTCAACGTTTGATCAACTCAGGTGTTTTATAAGAGCTCTCAATTGTTTGTTGGGATCTCTGTTAATTCCACTCTTTTTTAGGGAGTAAAAATGATGAAGATCCGTAAGAAACCATGTGAACATTCTTCGTAATTAGTTGAGAAAGAAAATCCGTGAGTGGAATAAAAGTGGATCCTAAGGAAGTTGGTTCAATGCTTCCCTTGAGAACAACTATTTTGTGAAGATGGATGAGTTTGAATTGGCGATTTCATGCCGCATTAAATTTAGCAATGATGGACATTCGTAATTGAGTAATGCGGTGTGACCATTTCAAAAGGGCCGAATTGCTTTTGTAAACAATGGCTTTAGACGTCGATTACTCGCGAATGAAAGCTCACAGCTGGTAAACTTCGCCCCGTACTAAGTGTATAAGACTGGCAGTTCTCTACGGGCACTAGTCTCTCGAAACAGATTTCCCATACAACGGAATAGAGAAAGGGGTGATCGACAAATTTGATTGTAATTTATCATCATGAAATCTTCATCTTCGTCGGGTTCGGTAGCATTTGTCGATTCAAGCTTGAGGTTGGCAACCAACGGAGACGGTATTGTTGATGAACATTGAGTCTCGGTGAAATGAGTCGTTTCACCATTTTGCTGATGGTCGCTCTCGATCCCGATCGTGTTCTCTATATCGCCCATTTCAATTAGAGAAAGCTTCCTCGGAGGAGGTGAAGCTTCTAGGCAAGCGACATCTGACGAAAGGCGTTTGATGACTTCTGATGCCAGTGAATCATGCAACTTAGCAACATGCCACGTGAAACTAAAGATGTTCCAGTTCTCAGAGGCATCGGCGATGGCTGTTAGCTTTGTAGTCTGCCCGACCAAACATGTTATGTCAGCTCTGAACTGTCCCGAGCTTGTTAGGACATCAATTCAGCTTATCGTTTACCAAAACGAATCCTGCTGCAAACCCAACCCTCTTATCCAACATCCCAGTGATTCCTCGTGGAAGTGCAGAAGTGTTCTCGGCTTCCATCAAAGCGAGTGTTATGTCAACACAATCCTTCCCATTCCTTTCTTGACCTGTGTTCGGGCGCGGCCGGCACTGGTATTGCCTAATTTAAGATCACCAGTTTTTACACATTGAGGATGATTGCTAGTCCCAAGCATCGTCTATTGGTTCTCTGTGTAATTACAGCTGATCTGGCAATAACAGAGTAGTAACCGTGGGCGGTCAATCAAGCTCAAGCTCAAGCTCAAGCTCTGAACTGTCCTGAGCTTGAAACCGTGGCGATCGAAATTTTCAAGTTGGACATAAACTCCTGGAGGTTGAGGAGATATTTCCTAAGAATAAATTAGTATTTCAAAAAACAAAACGAAATTCAAACTTGTAATATGTAAAAAAAAAGCTTTGAGTAATGAAATATGAAGAATAAATATATGCTGAAAAAATCATACAAATGCAAGAAACGTCATACAATATAGTATACTATTAAATACATAATTGAATGTGATTACTTAAGATTAAGACATACCAGGTACTGACGTAAGCGTAAAAGATACGATTAAGACATACGGATTAGAAAAATGTGTCGCAATCTTGAGCCGAAGTCTGTCAAGCTCATCGGTAGTGGACTCGTGTCTGAACTGTCCATGTGAACTTTTCCCGATTTTCATCACCGGACGGATACACGTCTTGACCCCATGAGTTTGGATGATGTTCGCTTAGTCCATTAAACATAAAATCTCCCCCTCGAGGAATTTAAATTGATGCGGTTGGCCTGCAAACCGCCCATACACGCTTTCAAGCGAGGGACCACCAGCATGCGCTTTTGCGATTATATCCTCTGCCATCTCTCGCAGATCTTGTTCGACAAGCATTATCTCTTTCCTGGTCAATCTACCAAGCGACTGATTGCATAGGTTAGACATGCTCAATATAGTTTTTATATGAGTATGAATGCTTCCATACATTCCTTCCAGTTTTTGCCAGAAGTAATCCTGCAATAAAATTTGGTGTTAACTAAACAAATAAAAATGCAGGTAAAAATGCTAAATAAAAACTTACCTCGTCCATGATGAACTGTAATAATATCGCGAAAATAAATTTACAAATTTTAAAAACAACCCAGGAAATAACCGCAGATAACAGATTAAAATATACGGTAAGTAGGGTAATAAGCTATATAAAAACCTACAGCAAAAAAATTGCTCTGGGTCACATAAATAAACCAAGCGTTCTAAATAATTTGGCAGGTTAGTTGGGTTTGTTTACTCATTTGAGAGGTTCAGATCAATAAAAAGCAGATCATACTGCCAAAAATGAATGATAAAATCAGATCATGGATTGGTCTATTATAAACAACATATGATGTAAACATTCTTGGAAGTGGTGCCAGGATTGATGAAAAACTATCTGTTATGTGGAGACTGCCTGCGTGGCAAGGTGTTTGGAGTGTGTCGGAGTGTGTTTTTGTGGGTGTTAACACAAGGTGGCAGAGTGACTTACCCCCTGGCTGCATGCGCGAAAAAATAAACGTAAGCGTAAAAGATACGATCCACAAAATTAGATTTTGCTGGATCGTATCTGTTTACAGTTCAAAGCGAAGCGAAATATTTGCCAATTGCGTTTTTCTCGCAGGTGAAAAATGTAGTATTTTGTATGAGATTTTCGCTTCGCTCCGATCTCTACACACTTAATATTTTTCGCCGAGATTCCAACAGCCGAGTAGTTCTGCAATTTATTTTGCTGAGATTCAGTAAAACAATTGCCGAGACTCAGCTAACAAATAACATTTTGCTGAGACATCAGCTAACAAATAGAAATTTTGCAGAGATATCAGCAAAAGTAAATGCCGAGGTAATCGGCTGTTGGAGATTTTACCGAGCTAGATTAAGTGTGTATATAGGCCTTAAACTGCGAAAAAAAGAAACTGGAAAATGTTCCACAAACATTTTTTCACAACCTTTTTCGCTAGCGAAATTTCATGATTTTTCGCGTGCTTCACATTTCGTTTCCCTTCGATCTGTATACTATACGATCCACAAAAATAGATTTCGCTGGATCCTATCTGTTTATAGTTCAAAGCGAAGCGAAATATTTGCCAATTACGTTTTTCACGCAGGTGAAAAATGTATTATTTTGTATGAGATTTTCGCTTTGCTTCGATCTCTATACAGGCCTTAAGAGACAATTCTTCGACGGTGCCGTCAACGCCAATGGTTAAGCCATTTTCATCAAAATGGGTCTTTTTTACCCAATAATGGGTATTTTCATTCGGTTTAGTGCCGGCGCATCAGTATTCAGGGGAACATATCAGAAGGGTATAACTCGAAACATAAACAATGACTTTGAACGTCGATTTCTCTTGAATGACCACACACCCACGGAATCTGATTACGCTAACTCATATAACAAACATTTCTCTGTCAGATGATTTAGTAAGTTTGAGTGGGTATGTAGTCATTCGTAAGAAACCGACGATCCAAGTCATTGTTTACGTTTCGAGTTAGACCCTTCTGACATATTTCCCCTGTATTGAACGTCACCAAACAGGGCTGTGCTGCGTTCGGTGCTGCCAACTTTACCAGAACTATGAAAGTCATGAAATTCTAACCATTTTTGATAACTTCTGGCAGCGCTGCCAAGTCATGATTGTCATTATCCACTCAACACCCGTCGCGTTCGGTTGACCCGCATTTTGCTGTGTGTGAAGTGAAACAAGTGAGAAAAAATCCATAAAAGTTGTCCATTTGGGTGTGCACAATCAAAAAGAGTATTACTTTGGAAAATCAAAAAATAAAAATATGTCTGACACAGTGGAAAAGCGTAAGCTCTCAGAGCTCCGGGTGGTAGACCTGAAGCAGGAGCTGGAGAAACGCGATAAAGATGGAAGTGGAGTGAAAAATGTGCTCATCGATCGATTGACTCAGGTAAGTGGCAGACATTTTGCTTGAAATTCGCCATATTGGATTCGGGGGGAGCAGCACCGGCAATGATTTCGCCATCGGGGCGTAGCGCTAGCAAGAGTGATCGAATGTGTTTGTTTTCCTCTCGGTTCTATTTGAAGGCTTTGAAAGATGAAAAGCTGGATCCGGAAACGTACGAGTTTGAAGTAACCGTAACGGGAAAAACTCCTGCTAAGAAGGGAAAGGCACCGACAAAGGCGGAAGATGAGGCTGCTGAAGAAGGCGATTTGAATATGGCCGATATGGTGGTGCAGGATGAGTGCAATGAAGACGAAACGGTTGCAGCAGAGACAAAGAAGGAAGTGCCGGCAGTGAAACCGGCTGTGGAGGAGAAGAAGGAAGAGAAGGTAGAAGATCTTGATACGATATGAAACGGGAAGGCGTTATAATCAAATTTTGAAAAATTTGCAGAAGGAAAAACCGAAAGAAGAACCAAAGAAGGAAGAGAAAGTGGAAACATCCAACGGAAAAGCTGCTGCTGCGACTGCTGAAACAGATAAGACCAGCAAGGATGAAACCAAGGAAGCTGATAATGAGGATTCGCTCAATTTGACGATTGGCGAAGAGGATGAAAAGTTGCTTCATGACGATAGCAACGTCGAGAGTGAAAAGAAGGGTAAGCATCGATTTACCAGCTCCACAATTTTCTGTTGAGACGTTCCTTCTAGTTGATGATATCTACACATTCTTGTGGAAAGGTCATAATCAATGACCTTGGTGATTTCCAAAATGTTTGGTTCATTCTGATTGAGTTTTGGGAAAGAAGGAATATTTTTGCATAGAGCTTTCAACATGAATCTACATGGACATTATTGATTACAGGTGCTGACACTGAAAAGAGTTCCACGGACAGCAAGAAGGTAGATGCTTCTGACGAAGGCAACAAGGCTGATAAGAGTGACTCTTCAAGGTAGTTCGATAATATACATTAATCGAGTTGAACGATTGTGTAATAATTTCCTTTTGTTTTAGTGAGAAAACGGCCGGTTCTAAGGACGAGAAAGGTAATTTTAAATCGTGGCAAATCTGCGAATTACAGGTGTTTTTTCTTAAGATTAGGCTAAGGCGTAACGTTACACTGTTTTCGTTACCGAAAATTGTTGGTTTCGTATTTTTGTTCTGAGTACTTACACTGGTCTGTGAGAAATACGGCAGTAAGAGCTTTGTTAGTGTTTGAATTCAAGTGCTACCAAATAAGGCTTTGTTTGTCAAATGAGTATAAATTTTCGATTTTTTTTCCCGGAGGAGACAGAGTTGGCGCAGTGTCACATGAAAATATGAAAGTTTTCGTCGTCAGTTGAGTTGTCAGAGAATTCGACAAGCATCCACCAACCAAACCATACTAATTTTGCCACTACCAAAAAATAATGTATAATGTTTGTCTATATTTCTCATTCGTTCGGATGCGGAATCTGTGTGTTTGCAGAGAGCGCTGGAAAGCCGTCGTCATCGTCGTCTGCCAAGTCCGGCACATCCAGCGACTCCAAGTCAAAATCGTCACCGAGCTCGAGTGAGAAAACGTCGACCGTATCCCGGAATCTGTGGGTTTCCGGTCTATCATCGCTAACTCGTGCGACGGATCTGAAGCTAATCTTCTCCAAGTACGGTAAAGTGATTGGCGCTAAAGTGGTGACGAATACTCGTACTCCGGGAACCCGTTGTTATGGCTATGTGACGATGGCATCGGCCAAGGACGCAACTGAATGCATCACCCATCTGCACCGGACCGAGCTGCATGGACGTATGATTTCGGTAGAACGAGCAAAGTCAGATCTGGGGCCAGCAAAACCTTCCGGCGGAAGCAATGGTAGCAGTAGCACCAGCAAGATGGAACCACCCAAAACAACGACGGTGGAGGTAGTAGATAGTGGCAAGGAAAAAGAGAAAGACAAAACCGAGAAGAAGGAAGAGAACGGCAGCGGATCGCACGGCAGCAGGGATCGTGGTAGGTCGAGTTACAGGAGTAGATCTCAGCATAGAGGCCGGTCTCAACACCGTGGTAAATCGCCGGAAAAAGACGACAAACCGAAGGACGACAAGAAGAAAGATGACATCCAGAAGGAGGATGGCAAGGAAGGAGCGACCCGCAAGGATGATGATCGTCCACCAAGAACCCAAGATGCAGACCGCCGGCGTGATAACCGCAGCAGCGAACGCAAAGACAACCGCAATCGGGACCGGGATCGCGAGGTTCTATCGTTACAGAAGATTCGTGAAGAGCGCGAACGTCAACGACTGCGCGAGAAGGATCGCCAGTTGCGCGAGGAAGAACGGCGCCGTCGAGAGATTCGCCAGCGCCAGCGCGAAGAGGAGCAACTACTGCGACGTGAACGGGAGAAACTGGCCATCGAACGTGCTCGCATCGAGAAGGAAAAAGCCGAACTGTTGCGCATCGAACGCGAACGCCAGAAGCTGGAACGGGAGAAGATCGAACTCGAGCGGCTGGAGCTGAAGCGTCAGCAAAGGAAGTACGGTTGAAATTTATCTCTTTAAGATTAATCCATATTTTCTATTCTCTATTTTATTACGGTATTTCCTCCCCATCTCCCGCCACTTCGAAACTACAAAGCTCGCGCAGAAGGGCGTGCTTTGCATTGCTAAGTTATTTTGGGCAACCTGTTGATGTAGTTTTTCTTAGAAGATCGAGAAGCTGTAGCTTATAAGTGACAAAATATTTCCCCGTACAAGCTTACGAATCCTGTCTCTTGGCGTTTCCACGGTGATTCACAAGTCGAAGTGACTTCCTAGCGTAACTTCCCGTGATGATGCTGAAGACGACAACCCGACTGCAGCTCAGCAAGTAGCATTCCCAGGACCATCATCATCTGCTGCAACGTCGAGTCCAAACAGTAAACACTGAACATTTAGACATTTTGAAATGTCTTTGGAATTCAATTGGATCTGTTGTCTTCTAAACCGGAAAATCCAATATGCAGAGAGTACCTGTTTAGTAGATTCGGACATCCGTTATAGAGCAGAAACTAAACTTGAGATAGAGAGGCAGCCCGAGATGATTCAACCGCGATAGAAACACGAATCCATCCAAATCAGAAGAAAAACGGCAACGATGAACTTCAAGTCCAATGTTCCTGGCAAGTAGCAGCCATTTCATCCTGTTCGTGCGCTCAACGGAATAGCAGATGCAGCAGTTATTGTGCAACTCATGGCTTGGGAAATATTTTGTCACCTTCTCGCGGGAATTCGGGCACTTTTGTTTTGTTTCGATAGTCAAAGCCAACGATTTTTTGAACATTGCGTCTGATGCGAAAAATCGATTGGTTTTCCAATTTATCTCTTCTCGCAATCTTCGATGCGCGCGTATTTAATGAGAACTTTGTCAGCGAACTGAGCTTCGCTTCACGAAAAGCCGACCTCATCTTTCACTTCCAGATAGGCTAATTCATCTTCTCTCTTCTGTTTCCACATTGTTTCTTTCTGTCTTCTTTTTGAAACGTATGTTCAAAAAAATAAAAACCCTTAACCGAGCAGAATTGAAGAGGCGAAACGGAACCTGAAGCGCCCAGCAGCCTCAACGGATCACTACGATGACGATCGGAAACGCTCGACGGGATCGGACCGACGATTCGAGGCACCTCCACCACCATCTATTTCCACTTCGGTGTAAGTTTTTGTGCCTTTTCACATCTAGATTTATTCATTCAACTGATTTTCATTTGCAGTCGCGGTTCCTATTCGGCGGTTGAAAAGAAACGCCTGGATGACTACCCGCCATCGAAACGGGAAGACTACAAGTCCCGTGACGATTTCAAATCACGCTCGGGCCCGGTAGATGACTACCGACGGGACAGTTTCAAGCGCAACGGCGGAGGTGGCGTAATGGACGACTACAGCAAGCGGGATTTGGATCGCCCGTCGATGCCTTCGATGGAGAGTCGCTATACGGATTCCCGTTCCGGTGCTGGAACTGACTATCGTGGAAGCGGTGGTCCACGGGATGATCGCGATCGCAATGGATCGGCACCAAAGTCCCGTTACATGGATCCGATGGATCAACGCTACCCTGATCGGTCCGGTAGCAGTGGTGGCGGTGGCGGTAGCAGCAGCGGACCATGGAATGCTGGACCACCGCAGATGAGCATGGCACCGGCTGGTATGGGAAACGATGGCTGGCGAATGGATAACGGACAGGATCGGTACGATCGTACCTACAACGAGAGGAAAGCCCCGCAAATGAGCGCCAGCCCCTTCATGGATCCATCGAGGCAGAGTCAATTCATGGGAGGTGGCAGCAGCGGTGGACGACCACAAGACCGATATGGAGCCCCTGTGTCCGGACGGTTCGATAATGGACGATACTAAGTAGGAAAAGGTACACTGGTTTGTGGTGTACGTTGGAATTCCTAACGCCCTGCTGTGTGGTTAAAACTAGATTTACATTATTCACGTATGAATGACAACTTTAAACATAGTTCAACATTAGGCTAATGTATGGCAAGAACTAGTTCGCGCCCCACCTCGTTCCCTCTACATCCCAACATATAGTTCACTTCTGTCGTAGATGTGTGATCATTTGGTGTAAGAATCATCTCTGTAGTCATTATTGAGTGTAGGAACTAAGTAATTTAAGGCAGGATTCAATAAACAAATGAAACTTACTCTTAAAATAATCAATGTACATCGACAACAACTACATTTTTGAGAAAGCACTGCTAGTTGGTTTGTCTCGAATTTGTCTTAATCCCCTCTTTGTTCGGGTCATAATCACTGACTGAACAATTACAAGTACAATTTATTTAACAACCGGCTGGCGATTGTTTGAGGTAGTGAAATTGTTCAAGGAATTGTGTGTTTATGTTTACTTAGAAATTGCAACCACTGTATTGTACTGATGCTGAAATAAAGATTAATTATTAATTCCACTATCAGCTCGACAAGTTATTTCTCCCCAATAATCTATTCCTTGCGTCTGAAACATCAATAATCATTTTTTATATGTCCGTTATCTCGAAAGTCGAAATGGGGCTCATGACCAAAGCAGGTTAAGGTTCGATCCAATGACCTTCGAAAACATTCGCGTGAGTTAAGCTGCAGATGAGAAGCTATTAGCATGAGCATTATTTATATAATCAATTATGAGCGTATCTATAGACTTCTCTGACGTTGGTGAAATGCACAAGTATTAGTACAAAACTTAAGGTAAATCCTTAGAACTTACTTTAGAAAATCCTTAGAATTTAACCGAAGACAACAAATCAAGGTAACTTTGCCAGAAGCCAAGCGACAAGTACAGTAACGCTGCGCTTGAGTGAAGGTGGAAGCAACGCATAGAAAAATGAGCAAATACACAAACCTTTCTTCTGAGGATGTAATCTTTGCTATCAAATTCGTTCTAAGCATTTACCTTTGAGCGGTAGATGACGCGATTGTACCTGTCTCATAGCGTTCGTATGAGAAAATGAAAGAGATGCCAGTCTTCTTGATTTGTTGTCTTCGATTTAACCCAAGTTCTGCACTAACACTTGTGCAATTCACAAACGTCAGAGAAGTCTACACGCTATTTCAAAACCACCCAAATTTGGGTAGAATCCACCCAGATCGGTCATAACTGAACCTACCCAAAAATGGGTAAGCTGTGTTGGGAGTTACAAGTTGACAAATGAACAACATTGGCATGAATCCGATCGACGTTGTTAATTTTTCAACTTGTCACTCCCAACATAGTTTACCCATTTTTGGGTAGGTTCAGTTTTGACAGATCTGGGTGGATTCTACTCAAATTTGGGTAGTTTTGAAATAGCGTATATACACGGAAGTTCCACTCTTAAGGCCCACGCCCATTAGATCCGGATCGGACGCGTTTCGGCAAAGTGACAGCTAAATCTATTGTCTAACTGTCAAATTTACGTCAACGCAACGCAAACGGATCTAATGTGGGTGGCCCTTTACGACTACAGTCTTTCACCTTCAGAGCAACAATCAATACGAAACTAACGATTTTAAATTGGCTCACTACTTGACTAGCCTATTGGTCCCAAGCAAATGATTAACGTACCTCATTCTAGTCAAAATTCTAGTCCTACACTATGTTTGTTTTGATTCGCTATGAAAGTTTGACAGATAAAATAAGGGGTTAGTGGATTTTCCTATGTTTCGAGGGGTGAATCGATTAGCTTGGGACCGAAGATAGTACCAGAGCTGAGCCAAAAAGTTGAGCTCGTTTCTTCGGGATCTTCTGGTCTTAGAGTTACCTCTATGATAGTACCAGAGCTGAGCCAAAAAGTTGAGCTCGTTTCTTCGGGATCTTCTGGTCTTAGAGTTACCTCTATGTTCAGAGTGTGTTATCGTAAAGGTGCCAGTAACATAGCCGATCCATTCTCACGTCTGGCAACTATAAGTTCTACTCAAGAATTCGACGGTGATAATCAATTTCTGGTACTAGCTACACGGCGAATGAGAACGACCCAAATTTGAGTTTAGTTCACTCATAATCGCCAAAAGTGCAGGAACTCAGTGATGAGTAAAATTTATCTCATGGTTTCGTGTTGAAAACCTAAAAAATCTGCCGGAAAATGAGGAAATTGACGAAAATTTTAATTAGTCTCGGAGTAGTACCAATAGACTGAGTGAATCCAATCTTTACTTTTCTCAAATTCGCGAATTTTTCCCTGGAAAATCCTGGGAAAACTTGAGGCAAATTTACTCATCGCTGAGTTCCTGGACTTTTGTCGATTATGAGTGAACTAAACTCAAATTTGGGTCGTTCTCATTCGCCGTGTATCCTGGAGTTGGAGCTATCCGGTGGTTGATACTATAGTCGCTATATTCATAGTCTGGCGGATAGAATTCCGATCTATCAAAAAGCGGAACCATTTCAATATATTGTAGATCAACAATTGAAAAGGTACTATCAACAATCAATACGAAACTAACGATTTTAAATTGGCTCACCACTTTAGTAGCCTATTGGTCCCAAGCAAACGATTAACGTACCCTATTCTAGTTGAAATTCTATTACTACACTATGGTTGTTTTGATTCGCTATGAAAGTTTGACAGATAACATCAGGGGTGTGTGGATTTATGCAGAACATGCAGGGGTGAGTGAAATAGCTTGGGACTGCTTGGGACCGTTGTTCTGGTACTGAGTGAGCCAAAAATAATAATGATTTTCTTCGGGACCCAGTGGTCTTAGAGTTACCTCTATGGTTAAACCAACTGGTGAGCACTCGCGTTTATTTCAGTTACCGTGGGGACATAATTTGTGATTAGCCCCGGTCCCTTTCAAATTGTATCATTATTTATGTACGGTCCTTATATTTGAAATGACGTTTCACATTTATCTAGTGATGGCCGATTTTCATTCGAATAATCGATTAATCGATTAACGAACCGAAAAGTAAAATATTTGTAATCGGTTATATCAAAAATCAATACGAAATTAACGATTTTAAACTGGCTCACTACTGGACTAGCCTATTGGTCCCAAGCAAATCGATTAACGTACCCCATTCTAATCGAATTTCTAGTACTACACTATGTTTGTTTTGATTCGCTATGTGTTGGAGGCGAACCAGCCCCAGGCTGAAAGCCTCCCTAATAAAGATAAATTAATTAATTAATTGATTCGCTATGAAAGTTTGACAGATACAATAAGGGGTTCATGGATTTTCGTATATTTCGAGGGGTGCATCGATTAGCTTGGGACCGAAGAGAGTACCAGAGCTGAGCCAAAAAGTTGAGCACATTTCTTCGGGACCTTCTAGTCTTAGAGTTACCTCTATGCTATTACAGCCGTTACAAGGAAGTCACGATTATGAAACCTAGAGTCGGTGTATAATGAGTCACGCCAAGAGAAAAACAGTTGAACTCGCATCACGGTTTTCGAAAGATTCCCTTTCTTTTAACTTGGCAACAGAGGACTTCTGCATCAACTTCAAATGACTTCTAGCGAGGAAAAAAAAATAACGGCTGTAGTATATCATTATATCAGTGATTTTGTGGAATTATCTTAAGGAAAAATAGTAGAAATTGTCATTACTGATCATTACAAAACGTATCGCATGACAAATGTAATGCTCACTGCGTGTATATGATCATTTCTTCGGTTATATTTAATATTTAATTGCAATACCTTTCGTGGACCTTTCATAGCATCGTAATGCTTGTTTACTTTGCACGATAGGTAGCCGGTTTGACAGTTCAATAGGTAGACTTGACTTCACTCTTGGCGTGACTCATTATACACCGACTCTAATGAGACCCATAACTGCTGATGAAACTATTGCCCGTTTGCATAAAATGTTCACGCGACTTGGGTTTCCTGTTACAGTGACTTTGGATAACGCAAGGCAGTTTGCGAGCGCAACGTTTGAGGACTACTGTAAAAGAAATGGAATCCTCCTGAATTACTCCACTCCCTATTGGCCACAAGAGAATGGGCTTGTTGAGCGTCAAAATCGCTCGTTACTAAAGCGTCTCCAAATCAGTCATGCTTCAGGGCGAGACTGGAAAACTGACTTAGGGTCGAGCTTAGCGTACGGCCAGGGTAGACGCGACGCGACCAATTCAAAAGAATCTTATTATTTATTATTATTTCTTGCGTGAGTCGCGTTTACCCTGGCCGCGGCCTTACAAGACTATCTCAAGACCAACAATTGAAATGGCCTTAACTCCATTTTGTAAACAAACCTTGCAAGGCCATTTTCTCGCGAACCGAAACCTACATTTGCAAACCTAAACCACAATCGGGTAGAGGAGAATTTCCCCTACCTGTTCATTCTGTTGTTTAGCTTTGGCGGACTTCGGTTCGCGAGAAAATGGCATTACAAGGTTTGTTTTTAAAAGGGAGTTGAGGCCTTTTCAATTGTTGGTCTTGATCTTATGATGTATTACACATCACCTCACTCGGTGACAGGGAAGACGCCTACCATAGCGGTAACTCTAAGACCAGAAGGTCCCGAAGAATCGAGCCCATCTTTTTGGCTAGGTCCCAAGCTAATCGATTCACCCCTCGAAACATAGGAAAATCCACGAACCCCTCATTTTATCTTTCAAAATTTCATAGCGAATCAAAACAAACATAGTGTAGTACTGGAATTTCGACTAGAATGGGGTACGTTAATCGATTTGCTAGGGACCAATAGGCTAGTCAAGTAGTGAGCCAATTTAAAATCGTTAGTTTCCACCGGTTGCCTAGTGAGCTTTGTTATGGAAGAACGATTAGGTCTAAAATACCATCGCTGGAGGACTTCGAAGCAGAAGTTATTCTATAATCGAGTGTACAGTTAATACATTGGTTGTATTCCAATAAATGAGCAAAGAAGGCTGAATTCCACAGGGGGTGAGTCGGGTTGGATGCTTCCCTGAGTGAATTGTTCGCCTCCGTGAGGAAGGAATCTTCCTCGTCGTTTCCTGACGTCTGCTGGTAAAGTCCGATGGCTCGTTGGCAGATAGTTTTGGAGATGAGGCGATCAAAGAGAAGCAGTCCTCCTTCGATGCAAGCAGCTATTCCGGGAGTACCTGGCAAAAGACCCAAACAGATTCGGAGAGATTGTTGATAAACCGGTGCTAGCTTTTTGATAAATCGGGGCTTGGCAAGGAACGGGGTTTCGATTCCGTAGGTTAGGCGTGAGTTGATGATGGCTTTCGCCACGTTCATCGGGATCTTCGGTTGGCATTTGGATGTCGTCCCGCTAGAGTTTTGAGCAGGTTGATACGGTGTTTGCATCCGTTTTTGAAATTGTTGAAGTGTGTGTCGAAGGTGAGATGTCGGTCAAAGCAGAAAACGATTAGGATTCTAATCGTTTTCCGAAACGGAATCGGTTCTTCTTTGATGCTGAGGACTTGGTGTTTTATCGGACAGATGTGGGTGAATCCGCTCTTAGTAGCGGACAGCTGGAAGCCGGCGGACGAGGTCCATGTCGATACGTAAGGTGATGGCCTGAATAAGCTTTCTTCGAAGTGCCTTCACCGTTTCCTGTTTCCTTCTCGAATGTTTTGGATCCGCAGTTTCCAAGCGTGACTTGGAAGGTACGTTTGCACAAAAAGTTCTGGATAAATTTTAGGATGTGTCCCTTGAGTCACCAGCTCTTCAACTGGTCGACATCCATGCCCGGTTGTAGGCTTTGGATAGTCGGCAGAAAATGAGCGCCACGTTGTTGGGGTTGTTCTTTCTCAAACCGTGTACAGCAAATTCGTATCCATTTCAATTTATTCATGTTGATTATTTTTATTCTTGATCATTGTTTGTCAATTATTATTATGTATTTTTGTTACACAGCTCGCAATCCACTTATTATACTTACATCACACAATCAACCAAACATTGGTTCACGACTATTTTTTTTTTTTTGCAAACAGTGCTCTCTTTCGCTTTCTCTTTCTCGCAACTGACGACTTCTTTTCCGTGGCTTCCGTCACTCGTTTTGATATTTGAACAGTTAAATAAAAACATGAACCTTCAATAAACGAAAACTGCAAAGGTACCAATTCACTATTGTTCGTTAGTCGTGTTTAAAAAAAAAACGCATTTTACTGGTTCTTATTTTCTGTTTGATGTGAACATATTTAATTACTATTATTTATTTTGTGTATGCGCTTTCTACCCGGTTTCAAGTGTAATATGGACAATCCTGCAGCTACTTTACAACAACACAGCGTTCGAAAGTTGTATGAACCAATCGCTCAACATCGTCGTGTTTGCGTTATTACTTGAGTTCCATATTGTTTGTTATTGTTGTTTCCGTAATTATTGTATGTTAGCTAGTTATGAATATGTTTATTAACTATTAGAGAAGGAGTGGAGTTAGGGGGCGGGGATGTATCATAAGTTTTTTTTGTTTAAGTTCTATACATTGCACAGTGGCTTTCCTACAGACGCTTCTCTTTCTTCTAACGAAACATGAGAAATTGAAACTATGTAGATTATCTAAAATAAACTTAAGCTAACTACAACATAAAACTAAACGATAGTTTGAACAGCCTGATTGCGTAATTTTTTACATAAAGAAAACAGAAAAAAAAAACTTAATAAATCTAAAGCTCTCACGTTTCTACCGGTGGGACTTGGTGTGAATTTATTGTACATCTCTCATCTCTCCCCAGCATCCGTCAGATTTTGCGACTAGAGCGATTCTCGATTAGGTACGGGTTTTGTTTTTAAGGATATTTGTGGAGCCCACATCTTTGGGATTAAATAATTCGCACAAGCGCTTTCGACAAGCATTGGAAGCCATGAAGTTCTAGGGAAGAAGGAGATTTAGAAGTCTTGTTAGTAAAAGGGTGGAACGGTCAAAAATTGGTCGACTCAAATTTGGCGAATTCTTTTTAATCGTGCATTTAAAAAACTTGCACTCCACTTATTTTGTAGGTCTGTACGTACGGACTGTTGCCTCTATTTTGTTTTTGCCATTTTCCTTTCAGTTGTCAAAATGACATCGAAGCAAGAGAAACAGCGTATCAAAATTTTGCTCGCGCATAAGCGCATAAGAAATCCAAATTATTCCCACGCAGATTGATTGCGTCTCAAATTGGATTGCGTTATAATGAACGATGAAGTATACGTCAAGGCGGATTTCAAGCAGCTCCCAGGTCAAGATACCCGGCTACCGGGAAAGGTAAGATAAGTTTAAGCAGAAGAAGTTGTCAAAGTTCCCGAAAAAATACTTGGTTTGGCAGGCCATTTGCACCTCTGGGCTGAAAAGCGAAATTTTCGTAACAACTGGCATTGTCAATCAAGATATTTATGAAAAGAAATTTGCAAAAACGATTGATGCCAGTTGTTCCGCGCTGTTTTGGCCAGACCTCGCTTCCTGTCACTACGGGGAAATGGCTCACCGGTATACCGCCAACAACGTGCAAGTCGTAACCAAGGACAAAAACCCTCCAAACTCGCCGGAGCTGCGCCCAATCGAAAAATATTGGGCAATCGTGAAACGGAACCTAAAGAAATCTCAGAAAACAGTTACAGTTCAAAGCAAATAAGGTTTTTTTTTTTTTTCCTTGGATTTGTTTTTCCGTCGATCTTGTTTTCCGTGCTGAGCACCAATGCTACCGACGCCAGGAAGGCAGCTCCCACACCTGGACCCTACCTATCGACCCATCAACTCATGAACCGGGGACCAACGGCTTTACTTCCCTTCCGAAGGAAGGCGTGATTACAGATGTTATGCCTCAGAACATCCCGGCGGCGCCGACTGGGATTGAACCCAGGCCTGCTGGGGTGAGAGGTAATCACGCTTACCACTACACCACCGGCGCCGCTAAAGCAAATAAGGTTGATACAACAGTGGTTCAAAATCTGATAAAAGGTGTGAAACGTAAAGCCCGACATTTCGCATTTTGAAATTCGGAAGCCTAATCAAACAATTTTCCTGTAGATTGATAATGTATACAACAACATAATCAGTGTGCCGTTAATCATGATTGACCAATTTTTGACCGTTCCACCCTTTAGTCTTGTGATAGTTTGATAAGATGGAATTGTACGGAATTTCACGAAACTTTTGGGTTTTGACTATGAAAACAGGAGAATTATGGAAGTTTAACATTCGGAAAATTGTTTTGCTGGCCAAATCTCACATTTGAATACAATATTTGCTGTTTCTGGGCCTGGCGAGGTTTCTGATAGCTATTGCCGGAAATTGAAAATTTCGTTTCGTATCGTTTAGACAAAAATTGGCCAAAGCTAAGTTTATGATTACAGAATATTTTGAAGGAAATTATGCAAACAATTTGAATTAATAGGCTCTTACAGACCCACGCATAATAACAATAAGGTAAACGAATCCAAATTGTGAAAGTTTCAAAGAATTTCATACCGCATACCTCTATTAAAAATCCTTCCAGTGCTGAGATTTGCCTTTGTCTGACAGACTTTCGCGGGATATTGACAAAATTATTTATTGCGTAGTCACTGATAAAATTGATTCTAAAAAAAAAACGTTTGTCAAAATCTCATTCATTTTTTTCGTAAATGACAAAGTTTCAGTTGACAACCAAACGTTTGATTTCGTGCATTCTGTGTCACATTATAGTTATCCAGGCAGTTCAGGACGTAGATGCTTGTTTCACGGTTCCATGTAATTGTTTTGCTCAAGTCATATAATTTCGTTACCAATTTAGCTAATACAAAAAATCTGAACATGTTCATCACTGACAGCATTGCCACTGACAATTGACATAGCTTGCCTTAACGATGACTGTTAGCTCAAATAAGTGACCAAAGCAGAATTTTGAATATCGCCGTGCATCGAGATTTTGCAGCACTGAATCCTTCCGTTAAAACGAGGACAACATATCAAGAAGACTGGCAACTCTTCGTTTTCTCATACAACCTCTATAAGACAGGAACAATCGAGTCATCTGTCGCTCAAAGGTAAACGCTTCGAACGAAGTTGATAGCAAAGATTACAACCTAAGAAGAAAGGCTTGTGTATTTGCTCATATTTCTATACGCTGCTTCCACCTTCACCCAAGTGCAACGCTACTGTATGTGTCGCTTGGACTCCGGCAAAGTTGCCAGTCTTCTTGATATGTTGTCTTCGGTTAAAAAAGAATATGGATGCTTCCCCAGCAGAATTATACATGTTTTCTTGTTGAAAGTGAATTTTCAAGCCAATTGGTTATTTAATTTTGAAAAATACATCTGAAAGAGCTTCGTTTTTTGAGCACAGCGATATTTTTTTCGAACCCACACACTTTCATCTCGATTTTTAAATCAAAATATTTAAACCAAAAAATTCACTGTTTGACACTAAACTGATAAACTGACCGCACGCTCCCATACAAAGTGACACCATAGAGGTAACTCTAAGACCACTGGGTCCCGAAGAAAATCATTATTATTTTTGGCTCAGTTGTTAGTGACACCAAGGGGCGCTAATTTTGATAAATTTTGGTGATTTTTGCAAATGTAATCGTTCTTCTTTAAAATAGTTCCAGTGTACCAAAATTGATGAAATTTTGGGTTTGGGTTCCATTTCTAATGCAGATTACGAATATGCATTAACCTGAATACCCTTAAAGAACCCAATTGCGGAAATTTGTTGGATTTTGAAAGGTATTCCCATAGAGGTAACTCTAAGACCAGAAGGTCCCGAAGATTCGTGCTCAACTTTTTGGCTTAGCTCTGGTACTATCTTCGGTCCCAAGCTAATCGATTCACCCCTCGAAACATAGGAAAATCCACTAACCCCTCATTTTATCTGTCAAACTTTCATAGCGAATAAAAACAAACATAGTGTAGTACTGGAATTTATACTAGAATGAGGTACTTTAATCGATTTGCTTGGGACCAATAGGCTAGTCAAGTAGTGAGCCAATTTAAAATCGTTAGTTTCGTATTGATTGTTGGTATTCCTCTGGCAAGTTGTAAATGGGCCCACGTGGGGTAGTTTAAAAAAATAACCCTCAGCGTCTGTTGCTGAAAAATGCTAAAACCACTGACAAACAGACGTAATTCTTTCTCCTCAATAGTCATACACGCATTTAACGTTCAGCGACCCAGCCATAATCGGGTATGCATTATTCTCATTTAAAACCCTCTGCAATATTTCTTGTGGTATACCCTCCAGATTTACCCAAGAAGTATCCTTAGAATTCCCTAGGAGTTCACCTCAGAATTGCCTTGGAATTTCACTCAGAATTATTTTTGAACTCTTCTAAAAATGTCCTTAGTAATTTCATCTCAGAATTAACTTGCTTCCTGAAAATTATTGAAATCCTCTTCTCATAATCCCCTTGCAATTCTTGTCCGAGTTCACTGGAAATTATGCTCAGAACCTTGTCGGTATTCCTTTCGGATTATGCTCAGAAGACCTATCCCTTCGAAATCTCCGTAGAATTGCCATTGATTTTTTCTCAGAGTTTCCTAGAACTACTTCAGGAAACTCCTTGAAACCCTCCTCAGAATTCCTTTGAAAATGTCCTTGTATTTTGATTTCCTTGAAATTGTCATCAGAATTTCCTTGGAACATTCCTCAGAATTTCCATTGAATGCTCTTTGAAATCTCTTCAGATTTAAATTCACTTCATAATCTACCAGGAGTTTACAAACCAAATTTAAATCGCTGAAAGATCAGCAAACGTTCCAGCAAAATAATGCTACTGAATTTTTCAACAATTCCAACTTCTGTCAAAATGACAACCTTTTACTGAAAATCTGCAATATTTCCATAGAGGTAACTCTAAGTCCAGAAGGTCCCGAAGAAACGAGCTCATCTTCTTGGCTCCGCTCTGGTACTATCTTCGGTCCAAAACTAATCGATGAACCCTTCGAAACGTAGATACTTTTCCAAGTATCATTTATTAAATATAACCAGTGTCCGAGCCAGTGTCCTTACCTACATAATTTTATTTATTTGTAGTTTTTTTTAACCTCTTCCACCTCCTGCGGTTTGACCGGTGTACGAATTAGAGGTGGGCAAAATAGCTCATCTGGCTGAGCGGATCAGACCCGTCCAGCTGATTCAAGGGAGTCGATTATTTTGAACAGCTCATCAGCTCACCTTTAAATTATAGAAATTTTTACACAAATTTCACACGCGATGATATGATCGACATCGTGTTACACGATGTTACGCCTTTTCTCTAGCTATGTAATCCAGTCTACATACAGATTTTATTTCTGATGTTAATTCTTCAGCACAATTGCTCTCACTATTCTCGGCTTCAGCTCCAGATCATCAGCTCAGATCTGGAGATGGGCTCCCAGGCTGTTCTTTAGACTCGATTCATTAAAGTCAGCTGATGACTCGCGGTTCGTTTTTTGGAACCGCAGCTCATCAGTTCACTGATATCATAAGTCTAATAATGTATTCAGATCTGAGCGTGCATTAGCAGAGCGGAGCAGAATTTGTGTTTGAATGAGAGAGACAACTAGTACTTCTCTCCCTCTCGTACATTCCCAAAATCTCGCCCCGCGCGTGAAATATCGCTCAGGACGGAATCTACCTTGATTATCCAGCACAATTGCACTCACTGATATCATAGGTCTAATGGTGTATTCAGATCAGAGCGGCATTAGCGAAGTGGAGCTCTCTCTATTCTCGGCTTCAGCTCTAGATCATCAGCTCAGATCCGGATCCGGAGCTGAATCGTGAAGAATCGAGAGAGAAAAAGATCCGAAGAGCTGGACGGGTCCGACAGCTGTCATCTCACTGAATCACTCGAGCCGTTGATTCGGATCCGGAGATGAGCTGCTAAGCTGGAGAGCTGCATTTAGCTTTTCGGTTATTTGCTTTTGTGCGGATCTTCCGCTCCCCCAGAGAATGATGGGAGGAGAGGTGGATGAATAACATCAGCAATAAGAGTTGGGTACGTAAATACATTGGATAATACCAGTAGAAATTTAACATCGTGTAACACATGTACATATCAAGCGAACATTGCATTAGGTCCTAAGTAACATTGACAGATTCTCTTCGTCGACTTTCTCTTTGTATCCCCATGGCCATGTTAAGACGTTTCCCAGGTATTTTCAGCGCACAGATCGATAAAAGAAGCTTTTAACTAGCATGTAACATGACAAACACAATAAGTAATGGTTCTGTGCTCAAGTTATTAACGAAAGAGAAAGTCGACGAAGAAAATCGATCAATGTTACTTAGGACATAATGCAATGTTCTCTCTCCCATACAGCCGCTTGGAAGTTTGCTTTTACGGCTCTTTGACTGGGTGTAAGTTTAAGTAAGCTGATTTTTTGGGTAAAAATATTGTTTGCTGTTTTTTCAGGAAAGCATTGGATTGCTGATCATGATCCAGCAATTTGTTTTACTGATAATGAAAACTTAAATTTGGTGTGATAAAACTGTAACAGATTTTATGAGCTCCAAAATTAAGTTAATATTTTGAAAGATTTCCAAGGTCTCATTAAGACTTAAGAAGTTTTCCGAGCTACAGAATCATAAAAAAAACTATCCGAAGGCTGCTATGCTGAACGCCCTGGTAAAAACGGTTCAATTTTTGAAAGTGAAAGATTGTAGTAAGACATTCTTTTAGAAATCTTGAGCTTGCAAAAAAACTCTGGAATCTGTCTTGAACTTGGATGAATTTACCGAGGGGTGCGACACATCTAAATCTCGATTTTAAATGGTCGAAAAATCTCACACTAGCGAATCAATCTACGAAAAAGCAAACAATTTCCTGCATCTTAGATAGAGTCGCCCCCCTCGGAATTTACAGGAAAAAAATTAAATGATGAGAATTGGCATAATCCAAAGGTTTTTCCGAAGAAAACTCCTAGGGAATTCTGGAAAATATTCTTGAGGAATTCCGAGGAGACTACAAAGCAATTCAAGCTGACTATTGCATTAGGTCCTAAGTAACATTGACATTCTCTTCGTCGACTTTCTCTTTGCATCCCCTAGGCCATGTAAAGACATTTCCACTTATTTTCATCTCACAGATCGATAAAAAAAAGCTTTTAAGTAGCATCTAATACGTCAACCAGATCAAGAAACGGTTATGTGCTCAAGTTATAAACGAAAGAGAAAATCGATGAAGAGAATCGATCAATGTTACTTAGGACCTAATGCAATGTTCAGCTTGAATTCTGAAGAGAAATTCGACAGTGAGCATGCATAAGGGCCTATACGCGATGATCGATTCTCTTCATCGATTTTCTCTTTTGTTAATAACTCGCTAGATTTAACGTTTTTCGGTGCGTTAGCTGTTGCTTTTGTTAACCAATACAACCTGTTACTACTCTGCATTTAACAAATTCTAGAAAATGGTTTCGCTTAGCTGTAGCAATGCAAAGAGAAAATCGATGAAGAGAATCGATCATCGCGTATTCGCCCTTATGCATGCTCACTGTCGAATTCAGTGCCAAAATTTCAAAGGGGCGTAATTGCATTTGTAAACAATGGCTTTAGTCGTCGATTCCTCGCGAATGGCAAACATGGCAATTCTGAGGAAATGTCCAGGAGAATTTCAGAGAATCTCTGAAAAGAACTCGAAAGAGAATTCAGAGTATACTCTATAATTCCAAAAAATATTCAAAACTCCACAACTCAAAATAAATTCTGACAACTTTTTAGAAGTTCTTACATAAATTTCTAAATAATTGTGATAAGAATTTGAAAGGAATCTGTATCTGAAGTTGATGAGTCAATTCCAATGGAATCTTAAGGAGAATTTATTATTTTTGAGAGAGGTTACTTAGCAGTAGTTTTGAGTTAAATTTCATGGAAGTTTAAACTCACAATATCTGAGGATGGTGTCATCGAAGTATTGACGAGAATTCAACAAAATTAAAACATATGTATAACGGAACTTTGGGAAAATTCCAACGGAGGCAATGCAATATATGAATATACGATTGTATCAAGTTTAGAAAATAAAACACTTTCATTGATTTGTCAACCACCAAACAGTAAAGGTATATTTAGTTTACACTCTGTTAAAAGGTTGTAGGCCCAGTCAAACCCAAGCTGAAAATCCGTTACGATGGGAGACGATGAGAAGTTCCTGAAGATCAAGCCCTTCGACGGTACGGGTTTCAACAATGGAACAGCTGAATATCGCGCACTATGTCGGGAAGGAATCGAACGGGGAAGACTTCT